TCCTGGCATCAGGACCAGTAACACAATCCTAATTTACTTCCCTTCCCATGACAGCCATATATGGGTGGTGTTGCAACAACTGTAAAATCATCACTTGTACACCAAACTTGAAAAGTGTGCATTCAACTTGCCACCAATAGACTTCCTGCTGTATCACATCCTGCCAGCAGGCATTGAGATGGACCAGCCAAAGTGGAAGCCGTTGTATCCTGGGAGCCTCCTTGATATATAAAGGATGTTCAGAGAATCTTGGGCCTTGCTAACCATTATCACAAGTTTATCATAGATTTTGCCCAAGTCATAGCAGCCAAATCACAGAACAGAGATCTGGTGCCACAACCAATTACAATTCCCAGAATTCCATAGCATTGAGCCATGGCAGTTAAAAGTGGTGTCAATCCGAATTATTTCAGCAGTGCAGATGCAGCCAATAATGAGCAAAAGCACATGAATCTGCTTTTGGACCCTATAGAACCTAAAGTCATATCTGTCTCAGGTCCTGCCCAAGTAAATGTGTTGGCATATTAGACTGGAAGATAAAGTTGCATGCAAATAGTATTACTCCATCAGTCAACTATGCTGTGCCAGACCCACAGACATTCTTATCACCAAACATGACAGAAAAGGCAGATACAGACACATCTCAGTAGTCAGCCCAATCCTTCTGTCCATCTGTGGAGGTTCAGCTCACCATCTGTGGAGAACTATAGAGTCTGACAATGTGTGATTCATGCTTCACTGAGCTGATTGTCAGCTTCATAAGGGTGCTCTTCCACTAAGAGCATTGGCTGACATTGGCAATGATAAGCACTCAAAAGCATAAATAATTGGCTTCCATGAGAGTTGTTTGTAAATTATAGTCTAGGATGCATGTTAATAATTTGGAACTTGGAAGAAGGGTAGGATGAACTAATAACACATACAAAGGGATTCTACCTGTTTTAAGGGTGGATATTATTATTAGAGATCATACTCACATTAAGGACATCTTGATCTCCAGGCATACTGAACTTGTTGGTTTGATATAAGAGAATGGAATTATATTAATCTTGCAAGAGAGTGAAATTACATGAATTAAAAAAATTTGAAAAAAACCTTCCAAAGCAAGCAAGAACAACTATTAGTAGTGTTAATCTCTCTGATAAATCTTGCATTTTCTTCTCTTTATCTGTATGTTTAGGCGATCTTACTAGAACTAGATGGACGTACCATCTATCCATTTTCCAAATTAGAAATCACTCATCATGTCTTAGACCTTTGGAGCATGGAGAGACTTGGAATCGCTTTACCTTACAGCAATCTGAATTCACTTGTACTGGATTATTCCAAGTAAGACAAAAGGATGTGTAAGTATGATATCTGCCCTAACACATTATATTCTTGCCTCACATTCTTGGCAGTCTGACAAAGGAGATAATTTTACACATTACATTCAACACAGGTACATGCTTGCACAAAGTTGACATGTATTCATCAGTTCACATAAACATATATGTGTATAGGTATAGTTGTACATGTGAACTGTACTCTAAATTTAAGAGTATTTTTGTAGCTGGGTACAGAAAAAGGCCTGAAAACAGGCACAGAGATTCTCATACAGTATGAATACATATATAGTGTAATGTGTGAACCTCCCAGAATCTAAATGACAATAGCTTCTGTCACTAGCCAGGGGTCCAAAATCTAAGGAAAGGTTTTGTTTCTCTGTTTTCATCCAGAACACCACCAAGGGAAAAGAGCATATCAGCTCCATCCATTTCTCAAAGTTCTCGCAATTCCTGGGATCTTCCTTCACTTTAACATTGTGTTCACTCTGTTATGTTGTACTTTTACTTAGGTTTCAGAAAACAACAGAAAAGTATTTTATCTGTCAGTTTGATTTCAATCAAAAGAGTATACACACGTGCTTTAAAGAAAATAGAGCAAGTTCCAGAATGCATGATATTTTTTGCCTTTTGTATGTTTGGCTTGAGAGACAGTATGGCATAGTACTTTGAATCTTGTACTGTTACTCTGGAGGCCAGGGTTTGGTTCTCAGCTCAGCCATGGAAACCCACTGGGTGATCTTGGGCAAGTCACACTCTCTCAGCCTCAAGGGAAGGCAATGGCAAACCTCCTCTGAACAAACCTTGCCAAGAAAACCCTATGATAGGGCCACCATGTCAGAAACTATTTGAAGGCATACAATAAAAACAAACATGTTTGGTTTACTTCTTGATCTGAATGTTGAATGATATTCTATGAGGAGACACAATTTGATGAAATGTATTGGATGTCCCTGTATTGTGTGAGGGCCTGCTTTCTCCCCAAGTTAAAATTCCACCAAGATCAACTCTTTTCTTCCTGCAAATTCCTAATAAGGAGAGTAATTCTCTCTCTCTCTCTCTGTATAACATAATGTTAGTATGGATCTGAAACAATGTCATCCCTCTCTTAACTGGATTTCACTTGAGTTAGCTCTCTGTTTGTATATTATTGTAGGACTAATCATATGTTTAATTTGCTGTTTGCTAAATAAAACATATTTTTGTTAAGCAGTCTCTTTTGCTCTGGGCTATTGCAAGCTCTGGCACAGAAGCAAACTCTAATCGCAGTTATTTTTGTGCTCTCCAGAAATAGCATCTCTGAAGGAGATACCAATGAGATTAGGTACTCCCTCTTCCAACCCTGTTTTGTGGTTATAGTAAATATGTGTTAAATATGAAAGAGCTGCATAGATTGTATACTAGTCCAAATTTAATTCTAACGTTCACAAGTCATCTATTTATAAATATGTGGTAATTTGGTATCAGAGAGTCACTGTGGTCTAGTGGTCTGAGTACTGGACTGTGACTCTGAAAACGGGTTGGAAATCTCATTCAGGCACTGGGTGACCTTAGGCAAGTCACATACTCTCATCCTCAGAGGAAGGCAAAGGGAAAAGCAAAAGCAAAAACCTTTCAGATTAAATCCCTGTGATAGTGTTGC